GGGATGCTTGAGTGATCCCGGGCGGCGAACGGCGCGTTCAAAGTGGGCCATTTTTGGTAAGCAGAACTGGCGATGCGGGATGAACCGAACGCCGCGCTAAGGTACCCAAGTGTCCGCTCATCAGATACCACAAAAGGCGTTGGTACCTCCAGACAGCAGGACGGTGGCCATGGAAGTCGGAACCCGCTAAGGAGTGTGTAACAACTCACCTGCCGAAGGTACTAGCCCTGAAAATGGATGGCGCTCAAGCGGACCACCGATGCGCGGCCGCCGGCGCGAGCGCGAGGCGCCGGCGAGTAGGAGGGCGCGGGGCTCGCGGCGCAGCCTTGGGCGCGAGCCTGGGTGAAGCGGGCCCCGGTGCAGATCTTGGTGGTAGTAGCAAATATTCAAATGAGAACTTTGAAGACTGAAGTGGAGAAAGGTTCCGTGTGAACAGCAGTTGGACACGGGTGAGCCGACCCTAAGAGACAGGAAAACTCCGCCGAACGCGGCTGGTTCTGTCAGCCCGTCCGTCGAAAGGGAATCGGGTTAATATTCCCGAGCCAGCGCGTGGATGGTGGGCGGCGACGCGAACGAACCCGGAGACGCCGGCGGGAGCCCTGGGAAGAGTTCTCTTTTCTTCTTAACTGCCTCCTGCCCTGGAATCGGTTTAGCCGGAGCGAGGGCTACACGGCAGGCAAAGCACCCTAAGTCTTGGGGTGTCCGGCGCGCTCCCGACGGCCCGTGAAAATCCGGGGGAGCGGTTCGTTCTCACGCCTGGTCGTACTCATAACCGCATCAGGTCTCCAAGGTGAACAGCCTCTAGTCGATAGAGCAATGTAGGTAAGGGAAGTCGGCAAAATGGTTCCGCAACCTCGGGAGAAGGAATGGCTCTGAAGGCTGGGCGCAGGGGTCCTAGGCTCGAGGCCGGCTGGCTGCGCGGGGACTACGGCCTCACGGCTGCGGATCCCGCGCGGCCGTCCGGCGGACGGCCTAGGAGCGCTCCGGCTCTCCCTGCGCGACGAACAGCCGCTTCAGAACTGGCGCGGACAAGGGGAATCCGACTGTTTAATTAAAACAAAGCATTGCGATGGCCCGCGAGGGTGCTGACGCAATGTGATTTCTGCCCAGTGCTCTGAATGTCAAAGTGAAGAAATTCAACCAAGCGCGGGTAAACGGCGGGAGTAACTATGACTCTCTTAAGGTAGCCAAATGCCTCGTCATCCAATTAGTGACGCGCATGAATGGATTCGTGAGATTCCCACTGTCCCTATCTACTGTCTAGCGAAACCACAGCCAAGGGAACGGGCTTGGAAGAATCAGCGGGGAAAGAAGACCCTGTTGAGCTTGACTCTAGTCTGTTACTGTGGAACGACTTGATGGGTGTAGAATATGCGGGAGGGGCAACCCGACAGTGAAATACCGCAACCGTCAACGTTGTTTTACTTACTCGGTGGCGCGGAGGGAGGCTCGCCTCACTTCTGGATCCAAGCCGCTTCGTGCGCGCGATCCGCGTCGGGGACACTAACAGGTGGGGAGTTTGGCTGGGGCGGCACGTCTGTTAAAAAATAACGCAGGCGCCCGATTTTGAGCTCAATGAGAACAGAAATCTCATGTGGACCGAAAGGGGAAAAGCTCGGTTGATTTTGATTTTCAGTACGAATACAAACCGCGAAAGCGTGGCCTATCGATCCTCTCGTCTTTGGGAATTTCAAGCTAGAGGTGTCAGAAAAGTTACCACAGGGATAACTGGCTTGTGGCTGCCAAGCGTTCATAGCGACGTAGCTTTTTGATCCTTCGATGTCGGCTCTTCCTATCACTGCCTCGCAGCGGGGGCCAAATGCAGGATTGTTCACCCACCAACAGGGAACGTGAGCTGGGTTTAGACCGTCGTGAGACAGGTTAGTTTTACCCTACTGCTGTCTGTTTTTCTACGGTAATTTGGTTCAGTACGAGAGGAACCACCAATTCGCATCATCGGTATAGCCGCCGCCGGAAACGGCGATGCGGCGAAGCTGCCATGCGCCGGATTATAACTGAACGCCTCTAAGTTAGAATCCATGCCGGAAGGAAAGCCACCTACCGGCCCGGGGACGCCACGAGCAACGGTAGCACTGCCTGAGCCGCGAGCGACCACAATTCACGGACCCGGGCCGACGAATCCCTTGCAGACGACTTGAATAAGGAACGGGGTATTGTACGCGGCAGAGTGGCCTTGTTGCCACGATCCGCTGAGATTCAGCCTTGGTTCTGACGATTTGTTGCGCGCGCGCAACAACCCTCAAGGGCCTCTCCCGTTCCTCAGTCGCTCTCTCGGCGCTCTCCCCCCCTCGCCTCTTCTCCGAGCCTCACTCGCTCGGGGGCGGAGCCGAGGGGGCGAGAGCGCCATTTCTGCCCAAGGCAGCGCGCAGGCCACTGCGCAGACACACCCGGCTCTCCCCGAGCCGCCATTGGGCGCTCCCGCGGTCCCCTCCGGGCTGAATGCGGCCTCCGGAGCGGGCGGCGCGAGCGTCTAAGTCTACTCAGAGCCTTCCACGCTCTTCTTTGCGTTCCAAAGCACCCACTTTACCGTTACCTCCACCGCCCTCGCCACCGCCCTCGCCACCGCCCACGCCGCCGCGCTACCATTCCGGCCACCCTCCCCACCCTCATCCCCACCTTGCCCCCGCCGCCCGTTGCAGCTGCCGTCGCCGTCGAGCCCGCCCTCCGACGCTAGCCCCCGCCCTTTACCGCCGCCCTCGCCGCCCTCACCGCCGCCCCCGCCGCCACCCTCGCCTCCGTGTGACACTCCGCCTCCCGCCCCGCCGCCGCCGCCCTCCAGCATGCCGCCGCTCTCACCCTCTCCCCTCCAGCCGCCCCACAACCCTAGCTGGCCGCCGCCCCCTCGCCACCACCGTCACCTCCACCGCCCTCGCCGCCGGCCTGCCCCAAGGCAGTGCGCAGGCCACTACGCAGACACACCCGGCCCTCTCCGAGCCGCCACGGGGGGCACTCCCGCGGTCCCCTCCGGGCTGAATGCGGCCTCCGGAGCGGGCGGCGCAAGCGTCCTACCCCCCTCAGAGCCTTCCACGCTCTTCTTTGCGTTCCGAAGCACCCACTGCGCTCCTCTGTAGCATCACCCAGTCACCTCCCTTGCCACTCTCCTTGCGCACTTGGCCGAGGCGTCGCCAGGCACGCACGCCGCTCCTCAACCCCGTGTCGGCCTGCCGCCGCCCTCGCCTCCAGCCGCCCCGCCACCCTCACCGCCACCGCCCTCGTCACCACCGTCTCCACCGCCGCTGCTCTCACCACCCTCGCCACCACCACCATGCCCGCCTCCCTCGCTGCCACCCACGCCCCCGGCCCTTGCCGCCGCCCTTGCCCCCGCCCTCGCCCGCCGCCGCCTCCCGCCCCGCCGCGCCGCACTCACCCCCGCCCCTCTCGGCCTGCTGCCAATCTCACCACCCCTCGCCGCCGCCGCCCTCGTCGCCACCGTCTCCGCCCCCTCCCTCGCCGCCGGGGCCCGGCCTCGCAGCCACGGCACCCTTGCCCCCACCACCCTCCTTCGACCTTCCGCCCCCGCCGCCCTCGCCGCCGCCCTCCCGCCCCGCACCACCCTCCCCTCGGCCGCCCTCCGGACTGCCGCCGCTCTCGCGCCCTCGCCTCCAGCCGCCCCGCTGCCCTCCCCACTGCCCCCTCGCCGCCACCCTACACCACCACCCTCGCCGCCGCCGCCCTCGCCGCCGCCCTACCCCCCTCGCCGTCTCCACAGAAGTCCTGTCACAACACACAAGAGCAGTGTTAGCACGTGGCGCCCCGCTAGAGCAGACTCACGCCGCTGCGCGTACGTAGCGGGCCACCCGCCACGTTTTGCACGTTGCGTTGGTCCGCGTTTTGAGGACACGTTCCACGTGTTGCGGTTGCCACGTCGTCGTCGAGCGTCGTCTCGTCTACGCACTAAAGCCGTACGGGAGACGGGAGCGCGCACACGTTCACGACGCGAATTTGGACCGACACCAGCGGGCCGGCGGGCCCCGCCCCCCACACCAACATGGCTATCGAAGCTCAGAATCGGTCTCCGCGGAGACCCATTGGTCATTGCGTATTGCGCTCATCTCCTCGCTAAAAAGAAACGAAAAGGAAGAACCTGAGGGAGGGTGTAGAGGATGTAGAGTGTAGAGCGCTGTAGAGCTGTAGAGCTGTAGAGCGCTCTAGAGCGCTGTAGAGCTGTAGAGCTCTACATCCGCCGCGGGACAGAGCGATGCAGATGTAGAGCGAAGGCCCTCTACAGCGTGAAATCTCTAAACATAAGCGGCGAACGAGGCACGGTCGCTCTCCGACATGAGGCGCGTTGCACTTGCCAGTGCTGCCCTGGCCTTCTGTCTGCCCGCCCAATGGGTGGCAGTTGCCTCTGCTGCTGTGGCATGCCTCACGGCTGCGACTGGCCGGCGCCTCGGCGCGTCAGCTCGGCTCGGCGTAGCGATCGTGGCCAGCGCAACTCGCCTGGACTGGACTCAACGCTCAGCCAGGAGCTCCCGCACGCGCTGGCGCGAGTCATGGCGCATGCAACGCGTCTGAATGCTCGCCTCGCCTCGCGCAAATGCGACCGTCCTCGCAGCCGACAGTCCACCGCCTGCTAAAGAAGCACTGCGACGAATGCGGCACCGGCGACGCATGGCAGGCTGGTCATGACGCAGTTATAGGGTGTTGTGTGCCGTCAGAGTGACTCTCTGTGTGTCAGGGATAGTCAGGGCCGTCCACCAGAGCTCCAGTAAGCTCGGAGACACCCCATTAGTGCGGCTCGACCTCTTTGAGTCACTGCCTTCCCGGCGGTTTTGCTGTAGAGCCTCTACAACAAACTCTACAGCAAAATCGCGCTCTACATCGCTCTACATCTGCATCGCTCTGTCCCGCGCCGGATGTAGAGCTCTACAGCTCTACAGCGCTCTACAGCGCTCCAGGGCGCTCTACATCTCTACAGCTCTACAGCGCTCTACACTCTACATCCTCTACACCCTCCCTCAGGGAAGAACTTTGGTTTGTGGTCTTTTTTGACAGAAACTAGCGCAGACGAGAGCAGGGCAGACCCGGGGACGGCGGAGTCGGAGCGGACGGCATCGGTCGCCGAGGGAACGTTGGGAAGAGGCACGAGGAGGGCGGCGACCACAACCGACGACTATGGAGGACCCGCCGCCAGACGACGCAGGGCAGACGACGGGGGAGAGTTGGAGCAGACGCGCAGGGCGAGACGAGGGAGGGAGCAGGACGCTTTGCGGAGATCAGCAGGAGGATGTACGAAGAGATTAGGAGCAGCAGGGACCCGAGGGACCAAGTGGAAGACGGCTAGTGCTAGGATGCTACGCTAGCCCCCATCGGAAGGACGACCCCGGCTAGTCGCCGACCACCCCCACAAAGATTCCTGCACAAAGATCGCAAGGGCGGGGACCTGTTCCTTTTTACCCATCTCACAGTAGAGTTGTCCGTTTTTGTTTATTTATTTCTTGGTTTGTGGTCGCCCCAATCTTCGCCGGAGCCGACATCTCGTCGAATCTGCTCTGCTTCGTCACGCCCACGTTGCGGGTCTTAACACTTTGGGGAGTGCTAATCTCGAGTCGTGACACGTGACACCCCAATAGATAATTTTCTCTTTACGAATTACGATTTGCGTATCTGTCACTTTATCCTGTGTGTCAATCACAATATCTGACTTCTGCGCTGAGTGGAGTGCGGTGTGTGAGATGTCGCGCGCGCGGATCTGATGCTCAGCCCGCTTGTGGCTGCCCCGACACATGGCCTCTGGTGACCTTGCTCTGACCTTGCTGAGCAAGGTCCACTTCGGCTAAATTCACGCCCTAAACGCTACCATTTGCTCAGGCCAAGTCCAGACACAGCACACACAGAGGACTGTGCGCGCGCGTGTGTGCACAACAGCCTTGTTGCGGGCCGGCCCACCAGGGTAGGCCCTTAAGAAGAATGCAATTTACAGCGACAGAGCGAATAGTAATCATGTCCGCCCGTGCCGCACATATGCGAGACGACGCGGCCCGCACAACAACTTTTACCACAGCTACACGCGCTTCACATTCACCGGTGGTGTTCACGACCGGCCGACCCGCTCCAGCCATTCCGCCATCGCGCTATCGTCATCATCCTCGTCGCCCTGGGCGATGGAGAGCGGTGACACTAGCGGAGGGAGGTCGGCGGACGCCCGCCAGCGGAACGGCCGGAGGCCGTGCACCATCTGCATGGCTGCTGGCATGTCGTCGGGGAAGAGGGGAAAGAGAGACGGGGACAAGTCAGCGCCCCAGCACACAGAACGTGCCCTGCGCGACGTGTCCTCGAGCTCCTTTCGCAGGTCGATCGCGGGGCGCTGCAGCAGAGAGGAGCCGCTGCACGCGCCCGGCTCTGGGTCTCCTCCGTCAGCCCTCTGCACCTCGACCGCCAGGCCGCGAGACGTGGCCCACAGGCGGAGCGGCACCGTCCTCAGCGGAAGCACCTCGGCTTCGTTGAACGTGCCACGAGGAGACGGAATCGAGTCGAGAGAGTCCCTCACCTCGATCGTCCCGCCACGCTTGAGCGGCGGCGGCTTCTCGTCAATTTTCGCCAAAGTCTCCGGTTCCGGCCGGACTTTCCAACCGATTCGCCGCCATATCGAAGTGGCTGGGTCGCTCGGCTGCCGCTCAGCACGCGGACGGCGAATGTGCATCGCCTCAGAAACGAGCTCGCTTCTGCGCCCTTGGCCAAACACGGCGCTTTTGGATTTTTACGAATCCCAGCACCCAGGTGCGTATCCTATGTGAGAGAGATCCCTGTGCCCAGTCCTCTCCGCGCCGCGCCCCCTCCTCCTCGCTTTTGCAAAATCCTGCAAAGGTGGGGACCTGTGGACGTGTCTGTCGCTCTCGCCTGTCCTCGACCCAGCTTGGGCTCAACGAGGTTTGCCTCTCGCACCCCGTCTGTTTTCCTTTCCTTTTTTCTCTACAGCACCCTCTCTTTCCTCTCTATTCTCCCGGGAAAACTGCGTGGAAATCGTCAAATTTTTGGCTCTGAGCCGAGTCTGAGGCTGGTTTGGGGCTTTGGGCCCAAAACCAGCCAAAAAAATCAGCCAAATTTTAGGCCAAATCGGCAAAATGCCGGGAATTTCGCGGAGAACCCGTGTATACCTGGAAATTACCCTGCGACCGCCTGGGTATTTTGTCGATTTCCTCAATTTTGCCTCAGATTTTGCCCCAGACCAGCTCTCAGACTCAGGGAAACTCGCGAGTTTCCAGAATGGAGCACCAAACACCCTCTGTTCCCTGGAAATTTCCGGAAACGCAAAGTGCTGGGGACCTCTGTTTTCCTTTTTGTTTTCCGGAAAACCTCGTTGAGCCCAAGACCCAGCCCTAGCTTGCGTGTCCGTTTTCTTTCTTCCATGCGCATTTTTGCTTTATCCAGGTAGAGTCTTTTTTGATCGCGCATCCCCCCGCCGGGATCAGGGCTCTTTTGCTCGTAGCCCGATATACCAATCATTCGGCCCGCTGGGTGCGCTTCATACGATATATAGCTCGGCCCGCGGCCCTGATGTGAGGTTGATGACCCGACCGCACTCCAACTGCTCCATTTTTATTGGTCCTTGGTTTGGGATAGAGCGGAGTTGTTGTTGCCGATTGTTGGTTTTTCTTTCTGTTTCGCTCTCTGTCTCTCTCTCCTTGCTCGTGGGGTTTCGGTTTGCTCGAGCCTCGACGCTCGAGGCGCGAGGGGTCCTTTTTATGTGTGGCTGCCTCTTTTGGGCATTGGGGGCCCGTGATGACGCGGGGCCGGGGGGCCCGGGCGCCGGGGGGGATGTCGGCTTTCCGCGGCTTCTCTCTCACAGCACATTGGATTGTTGCTGACACAGACACAACGTGACACACGACAGGCATCGTGCACACACCGGCTGAAACTCTCTCTCCGCACTCGCCCAAATACCACCTCACGGCGTCACCCGCCTGCAGCGCTGGACGTTCTCCCGTCCAGCCCCCTCGCACCCGACCCGCCCTCGGCGCCCTTGCTGGTGGCCTCGCGCTCGAGCGCCCGTCGCAGGAACGCGACGCGGGCGCCCCCGTCCCGCAGCCCGTCCCATTCCCAGTACGGGATGCTGACCAGCGGCGTGCCGAAGGCGCGGACCTGCCGCCGCTTGAGGGCCGTAGCGCCGCTCGGCCGCCTGCCGAGGAAATGGCGCGGGCCGTCCACCTCGACGCCGAGCGAGACGCCGCGCCACTGCACGAGCCAGTCGAGCGTGTAGCCGCACGGCAATCGCACCTCCTCCTCGGGCCACCTGAGGCCAAGTGGCGGGGGCGCGTCCTGGACGTGTCCGTCCGCTCCGCAACCGCTCGCGGCTCGGCCACGTGTCGAGGGCAGCGAGCGCCTGCGGCCAGCGCGGGAGTAGGGGTGGAGAGGGGTAGGCTGGGAACAGCGTGGCGGCGGGAGCGGCGAGGCGCCGGGAGAGCGAGGCGGAGAGGAGGCCGGGGCGGCGAAATCGCGGCGATGGGAGCGAGGCGGAGAGCGAGTGCAGGTGCAGTGCGCGCCTCGCCAACGCTGCTTTGGATCTCGGACTGTCGCGTGCGCGTCGCTCCAAAGGCGGCGGCGGCCTGGGCGAGCAGCGGCGCCGAAGGCAGCCCGTCGCTCCGCCGCCGCTCCTCTGCGCGCCAAAGCCGCCACTGGTGCAGCTGGCAGAGGCTCTCGTGCGACAGCTCGGCCGCGCGCGAGTCGAGCCAGCCGCCGAACCTAGAGGCGGGGAGGCGGGGGCGGTGGCGGGGAGACGGACGGGCCGGGCGGCGGGGAGGGCAGAGGCGGGCTCGGCGGGTGGCAATCGCACCGGCGCGCAAACCGCGCCGCGCCGCCCGTGCCTCGCTCCCCGTTTCCTCCCATGTCCAGGACCGCCAGCGACCAAGCCGTGGCCGTCAGGCAGCGCGCGTCAAGCTCTGCGTGCCTCGCCACCGCCTGCGCCGCGACGGCGTCGAGCAGCGAGGGGGCGGTGTGGTTTGCCGTCGCAAACGCCCACGCCGCAGTCGACAGCCCCTGCGGGCTGAACTCGCCGACACGCGGCGCGAGCTCGCCGGCGATGGAATCGAAGAGGGCCGGTGCCGGCCTGCCGGACGCCGCGTACGCCCAGGCCGTCATCGACAGCCCCTGAGAGCTGAACTCGCCGACGCGCGGCGCCGCCTCGCCCGCGATGGCGTCGAGCAGCTCCGGCGCCTCGTGCCCCGCCGTCGCAAAAGCCCACGCGAGGTTGCTCAGCTCCTGAGGCTTGAATGCCGCCTCAGGCGCGACCCCGCCCTCTGCCCTCAGCCTCGCCACCACCTCCGCCTCGATGCCGCTGAACAGCGCCGGCACCGCATGCGAGGCCGTCGCAAACGCCCACGCCGTGTTGGCGAGCGCCTGTCACGGCACAGCGCCGTCCTTCGGCGCGGCGTCTCGAGCGGTGCTGGCGGTGTGTGCTCGGCAGTGCGCTCGGCGCGCCTGGCCAGAGAAGGAGGGCAGCCGCGGCGCCGCCTCACCCGCGATGGCGTCGAGCAGCTCCGACGCCTCGTGCCCCGCCGTCGCAAAGGCCCACGCCAGGTTGGAGAGGGACTGCTCGCTGCACTGGCCGAGGAGCGGCGCGGCGCCGGCGCGCGCGGCGATCGCGTCGAAGAGCGAGGGTGCCGCGTGCGCCGCCGACGCGAATGCCCACGCCGTGATCGCGTGGTCTCGGGAGTTGAAGCCGTCTGCCTGCCGCTCTGCCTCACGGGCGAGCGCGTCAAAGAGGGCGGGCGCTCTGCGGCCAGCCTTTGCGTGTGACCACGCCGTGTTTGAGAGGCCCTGCGGCGTGAAGGTCTGCCTCGCCGCGCACCGCAGCGCGGCCTCCTCCAGGCCCTCCCAGAGCTCGGACCAAGGCTGGGTGGTCTCGCTGCCGCCGCAGAGCCGAAGCCGGCCGAGCGCGTGCGCAAGGGTGGCGACGCCCTTTGCATCGAGCCGTCGCAGCGACTGGTGTGTTGCCCGGCGGAGCGGCTCAAGCCGCTTGCCGCCGCCGCGACGCAGATGCGCGAGCTCGCTGCCGGTGGCGCGGCCAAGCCGGCTCCAGCACGTGGCGAGGTGGACTGGCGCGAGCGGCTCGTGCGCCGCGTGCAGCGCGAGCACCGCCCGAGCGCTGCTGGCGCGGGAGAGGAGGCGGTGGAGCCCGCCGCGCATGTCGGTGCTCGCTGTGTCAGTTCGCTGCTTCTGCTAGCTCTCGTCGCGGCGGTGCCCCGGGCGTGTGTCGTAAATTCACGAAAACGCTGGGCTTGGAGCACTGGGAGAAACGCTATTCTCGGAGATGAAAGGAATGTTTGTGAAAGAAATGTGTGAATAGAATTCTTCTCTCTTCCCGCGAAGCGGCGCAGTTCTCCCGTTCGCAGTTCGCGCTCGCTTCAACCCCGTTTTTGCGATGGAGGACGACGACTCCCCGACCTACAAGACGAAGCGCCCGGCGCCGGTGCATGGCGACGAGCTCTCCAAGGCGCTGCCGACGCCGGAGGTCGACGACTGCCCGACACCCATGCTCGCCGCCATCACAGGGCTCGAGAAGCTCCGCATCAGAGAGGAGATGGCGCAGACGCCCGCCTCCGTCACGCTCGAGCCCATGCCGGAGGAACCTTCGACGGCCGGCGCGGCAAAGCGGCGCCGGGCCCGCAAGAGCCGGGCGGGCCGGCGAGCGGGCGGCGGCGGCGCCGGGCCAAAGGGGCTGCAGGCGCCGTTTGTGCTGCAGCCACGCACGCCGCAGGCGCACGCCCGGACGGTCATCATGCTGCACGGCTTCACCTCCACCGGCAAGCAGCTCGCCTCGGGGTGGCTGCCAGCTCTCGCCAAGGCACTCGGCCGGCGGACCCTAGGCGCGCCGCGCGCCCGTTTGCAGCGGCGGCCGCGCTGCGCCCGCCCACGCCCCACCGCACGCCCCTCGCCACCCTCGCCGCCGGCAGACACCCTCAAGCTCGTCTTTCTGAACGCGCCCATTCGCACCGTCTCGTGCTACGGCGACGAGCGGCCGCGCCACCCGGCGTGGCACGATTACTTCACCGACCACGGCGGCGACGAAGGGAGGCGACGGGCCGCGAGGAGGGTGTCGGGTGTCGTGTGCGGACAGCCGCGTGATAGCGAGCCATCCCACGCCGCAGGCCCGACCTCGAGGAGGAGATCGACGAGGAGCAGGTGGCGTGGGCGCGCGAGCGGATCCACGCCGCCATCGACGCCGAGGCCCGACTCTGCACTTTGCCCGCCCGGAGGTGCCCTCCGGGGCCCCTCCCTGAGCGTGTCGGGAGCTCCCTGCAGGCGGCCGCGCTCGGCGGCGACTACTCGCGCGTCGCCATCGGAGGCGCCTCGCAGGGCTGCTGCATGGCGCTCGACGCCGCGCTCACGCACCGAGAGCTGCTCGGCGGCGTCTTCGCCTCGTTCGGACACGTGTACGAGTGCACGGCCCGCCTCGCCCCGTACCCGGACGGGCGCGACGCCCTCCTCATCTCGGCCTTCCACGGCGCGGCGGACGAGTGCATCGCCGCTTCGCTCGCCCTCCGCAAGTACGCCGACCTGGTCCGGCTCCCACCTCTGCCCGACGGGGACCACCCTCGCCCCCCGCGAACCTTCTCGGAGCCCTCATCATATCATAGGTTGACCTCGGCTTCCACCGCCTCACGCTCCGCGTCGCGCCGTCGCTCGGCCACTGCGAGCCGTCCGACGCAGAGCTGGCGACCGCCCCACCCCTCCCCGCCCCTCCCCTCCCCTCCGTGTTTTCTGGCCGGCCCCCTTGGCCGCCCTCCTCGCCCTCGCCCTCGCCCTCGCCACCGCCACCGCCACCGCCACCGCCACCGCCACCGCCACCGCCACCGCCACCGCCACCGCCACCGCCACCGCCACCGCGGCCCGCCCCGGCATCCCCTACCCCTCGCAGGTGGCCTTTGCCGACGCACTCGGCGGCTGGGGCTTCCTGCCGAAGCCAGGCCGCGGCGAGGCGACCGCCGCCGACGATGAGGCGCCCGCGGAGGCGCGGCCCGACGGCAGAGTCGAGGGGAGGCGCACGGCCCGGCGCCGTCGCCGGCACGCGGCGGCGCTGACCACGCCGCCCCGGCGGGGGCGAGAGGAGGCGGAGTGACGCTGATGGGCCGCCGGCGCCGCGGTCCGCGGTGGGTGCTGCTTGGCGGGCGATACGAAAAAATACATTGCGCATTGAGGTGGCGTGGGGGTGTCGCTGTCGGGTTGGGCGCTAGTCGCGTCTGGCCCGCGCTGCGACGGGGCACGCGGGGCGCTGCAGACTGCAGAGAGAGAGTGCAGTGGCATTTTCTGCTGTAAAAGCCTGAAGTCACACGTCAGGGCGCATCCACCAGCCCACACCACAGGTTGCGCTGTGCGGTGTGTGGTGATGACGTGTGGTGTGAGGTTCATATCCCTCAGGGCTCAAAGGCGCAGTGGATTGTCTGGCTCACGATGCGCGCGCCATCTTCTCCAGCAGCTCCTCGCGCACCTCGTGGCTGATCAGCCCGTCGGCCATCGCCCCCTCGACGGCGCTCGGCCCGGCCTCGCCGTCCGCGGCGTCGATGCCGCCGGCGGGGGCGCGCAGCATGAGGGAGGTGCCGAGGCGGCGCAGCGTGAGGCTGAAGGGGCCGAGGCTGCTCACCCCGCTGCTGGCGACGCCGAACGGCTCGCCGTCCACCTGCGGCGGCGCGGGCCGAGATGTGGCCGAGATGTGGCCGAGGTGTCGGCGGGCTGCTGCCTGTCCCCACGCCTGCAGCGGCACGCCGCTCCCCTCCACCTCGATCGACACCTCGCGCCCCTGCGCCAGCCGCACCGCATTCGAGAAGCCGGCGAGGGTCTGCGCGAGGTGGAAGACGCCGGTCACGCAGACGATCTCGAGGACGCCGTCGTCCTGCTCACAGCGCGCACGGGTGTGAAGAGAAGGACGTCCGCCCTGGGCGCCGCGTCGGGGAGAGGCGTGGAGGGCGGGTTGGTGCGCACCGCCGCCGGCGGCACCGCCTCCGTCTGCATCCGATCCCGCGACGGCAGCGGCGCGCCCTGCGTCGGGTCCCACAGGTCGGAGCCGCCTCCGTACGAGGGCGTGTTGCAAACCTGCGGCGCAGCACGCCACGCGATGAGGCTGTGCGAGCGGCGCCTCTGCCTCTGCGCGCGCCGGAAGCCACAGCGCCTCGTTCCGCATCTAGGCAGGCGAGCCATGAGGCCCTGGCAGCGGCGCGGGAGCGGGATGCGCTGCCCGTCGCAGGTGAGTGTGAGCCGGCTGGGCAGGTCGCGGTGCGAGCGCAGCAGCAGCTCGGGCGTGCCGAGCACGATGTACCACAGCTTGGCCAGCAGCCGCAGCGAGAAGAGGGCCGGCGCAGCAGCCTTGAGCCGCGCCCAGTTGAGGCTGGCGCGCGCGTCCACCCCGATGGAGAGGTAGTTGCTCATCACGAGCTGCTCCCTCCCGTCGGGCAGCGAGCCGGCCACGCCCCACCTGAGGCCGGCGGTGGGGTGTGAAGAGACGCTGTTCACACCTCCCTCATCCCCAGAGCAGCCACGCCCCACCTGAGGCCGGCGGTGGGGTGTGCGGCGAGGTGAGGCGGTGGAGCGGGGGGCGCCGGGGGGGAGAGGGAGGGGGGGAGAGGCGGCGGCAAGGGTGACAGCGGCAGGGGGAGCAGCGGGGGGGGTCTCCACACCGGTCGAGCAGGGCCACGCGCGAGAGGGAGAGCGCCGCGAGCCGCGCGCGGAGCGACTGCGGCCGGAAGTACTTTCCCCAGCCGAGGACGCGCGACATGTCGTTCCCGGTGCCGAGCGGCAGGATGGCCACCGCGGGGCGGTAGGGCGCGTCGAGCTGCTCCACCTCGCCGAGCACCTGCCCGCAAGCAGCAGGAGTGGGGGCGGCGCCCTTCTCGCCCTCGAGAGCGGCGCTCTCTCGGCGCACCCACGCCACGGAGCCGTCTCCGCCGCAGACCAGGACGCGGTACTGCGGGTGGCGCTCGCCAAACGAGCGCAGCGCCTCGCGCGGCGGCACGTCCTCCAGGTTGACCACCTCGAGAGGGGCCTCGCCGCCGTCGGCCCTACGCGACGGGTCGAGGACGTATCACGGGCATGCCACGCCAGTCTCTCCGCTGCAGCGCTGTCGGTCTGGCGCCGCCTCGCCGCCTCCTCGCGCAGTGACGCGGCCAGTGCCTCACCCATCTTGGCGCCGGCCGCGCTGTTGATGAGGGCGAGCGTCGGCAGCGGCAGGCCGCGGGTGCCCGCCGCGCCACCAAAGGCGCGGTCCTTGTTCGCCGCCTTGATGGCGAACCCCAGCGAGCCGGCGGCGAGCAGCGCATGCCACGTGCGGAGCCGCCGCATCAGTCCGAGCCACGCGGTGCCAGCCGCCGCCGTCGCGACGGTCGCCGCGGCGGCGTGGAGCAGCGCGGACGTGCCGGTAAAGTAGGCGCTCGCGGTTAGCGACAGCGCAACGCCGGCCTCCTCCCGGTTCCGCCCGAGGAGCACCGCCAGCGACAGGCTTGTGGCGGACAGCGCGCTGAGCAGCGCCGACAGGACCCAGCCAGCGCCGCCACCGACGCTGACGCTGACGGCAAAGAAGGCGGTGGTGGCGGCCCACGCTGCAGCGTGCGCGCCCCAGAACTCCGCCAGCGTCTTTGGAAGCAGGCCCATGCGCGGCGACACTGCAGCGCGGGCCGGCGAAGCAGCGGCCGCGGTCCGCAAGGGCGGTCGCAGCAGCAGCAGCGGTCGAGACGCCCGCGCTGAGCCAAGCGAAGCAGCGACGCGCGGCCGCGGCGGCGTTAGTCGCGGCGGATACGCGTGCGGGGCGTGGAGCAGTCCGGCGACGAGCGCGGGTGCCACCACTAGTGTCATCTCCGCCAGACTGATCTGGGCTTGGGCCTGGGGCCCAAATTCTTTTCGAGCCGGTGTCCGCGCCCAGGTCCGCGCCCTTGTCGTGCCAGTGTGCTGTGAGAGAGGCTTGCCTGTAAGAATTCTTTTCGAGCGATCGACTGCGCTCGCGCCACCTACGAACCGTGGCCTTCGCGTCCCTGCACGCTCCGGGATACCCATCACTGAGCCGACGATGCTATGGGTAGCCCCAGGGTGGCGCCCACCCCCATACCCTCAGGCACTTGCCTGCGCCCTGGCCGCGCATGCCGCGCACGCGCGCGCACGCGCGCGCACGCCCGCGCACGCCCGCGCACGCCCGCGCACGCCCGCGCACGCCCGCGCACGCCCGCGCACGTGCGCGCACGCCCGCGCACGCCCGCGCACGTGCGCGCACGCCCGCGCGCACGCCCGCACGCACGCCGCACTACGCGGCACTGCCCAGGTTCCCTCACGCTCAGATTCCCTCACGCTCAGATTCCCTCACCCTCAGATTCCGTGCAAGGGGGTGCCGAGGTATGCCGCAGGCCGGGATGGAGTGAGATCTTGCGGGGCAGGGCGTGGGCTAGCGCGTGAGGGCGCAGGCAAGTGCCCGTTCGAACTAGCAAACACGCCCGCTTCGCGGTCCCGGGTACCCCCCCGAATGCACCGCGTTTTTCTTGCTTCGTTTGAGCGCCCTCCTCAAAACCGCTTCAACACCGACATGAGCGCCGCCCCGCAGCCCGCCGGCCCCGCCACGCGCACGCGCACCGCGCTTGGCGACCTCTCCAACAAGTACAGCCAGCTCAAGGACCCGGTCCGGGCGGGCAAGGCGCGCGGCGCTCCCCAGCCAGCGGCCGCGAGCGTGTGCAGCCAGCGCTCTGGGCGCGCACCGCCGCGCTGCGCCTGCCCCTCACCGCCGCCCGCGCGCGCAGGTGGGCGGCAAGGGCTTGCCGGGCAAGTCGAGCTCGGCCTCCGCCGCGCGGGGCGTGTTCGACCGCTCCACCGAGGATGCCGGGCGCTCGGCGCCCAAGTCGCCTGTCGACAAGGTCGACATGCCAGACGTGCACAACCCGCAGGCGGTGATCCCGTACCTGCACGACATCCACCGCCACTACCGCGAAGCCGAGGCGCGGCCGCCCACCTCCACGCGCGCGCCCGCGCCCCACCGCACGCACCGCCTCTGCTGCGCCCGCCCGGCTCTGTCCGCAAAGCCGAGTGGCCCAACGCGGCCAGCTCTCGGCGCGCGCGGGAGCCCGAGAGCCGAGTCGCGCGCGCCGCCGCCGCAGGCGATCAACCTCGCCTCCGGCACCTACATGAGCAAGCAGAACGACATCAACGAGAAGATGCGCGCCATCCTCATCGACTGGCTGATTGAGGTGCACCTCAAGTTCAAGCTGATGATCGAGACCCTCTACCTGACGGTCAACCTGATCGACCGCTTCCTCGAGAAGGAGACCATCACGCGGAACAAGCTGCAGCTCGTCGGCGTCACCGCCATGTTCCTCGCCTCCAAGTACGAGGAGATCTACGCGCCCGAGTGCCGCGATTTTGTCTACATATCAGACAAGGCGTACACGCGCGAGCAGATTCTGGCCATGGAGGGCGCGGTGCTCGCCAAGCTCAACTTCCAGCTGACCACGCCCAACACGTACGTGTTCCTCAAGCGGTTCAGCAAGGTGGCGGGCATCATCGCCACGCCGCGCTCCAAGACGGAGCTGCTCGCGAACATGTTTGTCGAGCTGACACTGCAGGCGCGCGCCCCGGCCCTCTCACTCTCAAAGAGAGCCGCGCGCCACACTGCCTGCTCGGCCCCGCAGGAGTACAAGTTTCTCAAGTACCTCCCGTCGATGGTTGCCGCGTCCGCAGTCTACCTGGCCCTCAAGACGATGGGCCAGCCCTGCTGGGTGAGACAGAGAGCCCTTGCCGCGTAGAGAGCCCTCGCCGCCACCTGGCGTCGCCGGTGCGTCCCAGCTCACGCCGCGCCCGCGCCGCACGCCTCAGGGCCAGGAGCTCGCGGAGCACACCTCGTACACGGAGGCTGCCCTGCTGCCGTGCGTGCGCGACATGAACCAGGTGCACAAGGACGCGCCGAAGAACAACCTGCAGGCCGTGCGCAAGAAGTACGCGCAGGAGAAGCACGGCGCCGTCTCCGGCATCCCCCCCGCCAACTTGTGAGCACCTACTAGCGCGCGTGGACGCGGGCGAGCGTGGGCCGGTCGCGGCGAGTTATGCGGGCGGACTTGGAGTCTTGCCTCGCACGGCGGCTTGCCTGCCCCTCGCATGGTGGCCTGCCTGCCCCTCGCCCGCCCCCGGCTTGCGGCTGGCGTCACGATGAGCGGCGTGAGATGTACTCCGCCGGCTGCACTGCGTTTCCTGTCTGATTGTCTCTCTGTGGCGTGCAACACTCCGGTGGATGGCTCCGGTGGCGCCGCTGTCACTCTCTCTGCAACTCCGCATGCATGGCTGCATGCGACGGACGGTACTCTGTGTTTTGCGTGTGCGAGCGCGCTGCTCGCCCGCGCGTGCCTTGTCGCTCTAGCACTCCTTCCCCTCCCGCTCCCCACACACACTCTTTGTGCGCCATGGTTTGCGTCGTCAGTGTCGTGGAGTGTGTGTTGGCTCTCTCGCTCGTGCACCTGCTGAGTGCTGTCTGCGCGGGCCGAGCGCCGGAGTAGGGGGAGCAGGGGGCCGAGGTGTTCGCAGCCTCTGACAGCTCTCAGTGTCATTATTTTAAGAGCACGACGCACACACTGGCAGCTTGACTCCGGCGGAGAACTACTTTGCGCCCTTCGCGCTTCGGCACGCTTCGGCCTTCGCTTCTCGGCGCGACACTCAGCCGACGATCTTAGTGTAGTAGACCGGACAGGGCTACGAGGCCTTCATTCACACTCGTACGACACTCCATGGCATGGACCAACAACCATGGGGCTGGACACGACCGACATAAAGCCGTACCGGCAGATCCACATGAAGCCTGGCACATGCGTGCGGAGACATCGCTCATGATCGCTCGCGGCTCGGATCGCTGTCACACATTCGCGTGGATCCGAAGATCGGGATCGGTGTCAAGGGTCATCCGCACTCTCGACTCGCTGGTCGTCTCTCACGGCCCGCTCAAGAAGCCTGCTCCACTGACCACTGGTGGCACCGTGCCAGTGCCCGGGGCTGGGGCCGCAAGGGGAGCTCGTAGAAGCAGAGCAAGCGCGTAGATCATCTCTACCTCTACGGGGCTGGGCCTGCAGCTCGTTCAGCTCCCAGTAAGGAAGCGAGACCAAACGGAGCCCAGAGCTGCGCAGCTGCCGCCGCTTGAGCTGGGTCGCCCCTGTAGGCCGGCGGGACCCTTCCGACAGGAAGTGGTGCGGCCCGTCCACCTCGACCGCCAGCGGGCCGAAGTCCGCGTGCTGCACGAGCAAGTCAACCGTGTACCCCTGCGCCACCACAACCTCCTCCTCCACGGAGCGCACCCCGCCGACTGCGCGCAACTCCCTAGCGACGAGCCTCTGCATCCTACAGTGATCGGACACCGACCTGAGGCGAGGACTGCATCGCGGCGCTGCATGCCTTGAGTCTCGCGGGAAATAAAAGCTTCGTATAGCGGCTACGGCTTGAACGCACTGAGATGCCGTCGGTTAGGTGCTCGCGGGTGCTGGCTGGAATACTGGGATGCGTCTGCAGCATCTAGGCTCTCGAGCCGCGACGACGGGGCGAGCTGCGCCATGCCGAGGAAGGAGTCGCGCGCCTGCTCGCGCAGCGCCTCGGGAAGCGCCTACGTGGCATGTCGGGGACCGCGTCGGGGACGCGTCGCGGGCACGTCCCGACGCGCGGCTCGGGTGGGCTCCTCCGCCACATCGCCGCGCTCCTCCAGCCAGAGCTGGTACTGGTGCACCTGGCAGAGCTGCCCCACGTTGAGCGCCGTGCTGCCGTGCACCTCCGCCAGCCGCTCGGAAAGGGCGGCGGCGGCGACGGCGTCCAGCACGTCGGGGGACGGGGAGGCGACCGCGAGGGCCCACGCGAGGTTTGAGAGCGACCCGCCGTCAAAGTCGCTGAGCCGCACGAGCGCCGCAGAGCCGAGCCTGGCGCGCTGGATGAGCCGCATCACTGTGCGCCTCGCATGAGTGCGAGCGTTATACTACTCGCGCAGCGGCTAGGCCATAAACGCGATGGAATGCGGCAGAGTACTGTCGAGTGCTGGCTCGAGTAGACGGGGGCCGCTTTCGCGATCTGGGGTGGCGCGCCGGGAGTAGAAGGCGGGGTGCTCTGCCACGGGCACCTGGCTCGACCAAGCAAACGCCCACGCCAAGTTGGAGAGGTCAAGGGCGCCGAGCCGGTCGATGTTTGCGGCGGCGGCCTGTGCGAGCGCCGAGAAGAGGCGCGGGTTCTCGTGCCGCGCCGTCGCGAGCGCCCACGCCGCGTTGGAGATGGCCTGCCGCAGAGTCGGGCGGGCGGGTGGCGACCGCAGCACTCGAGGGGGTTGGGGGATGGGGGGCGGCAGTGGCGGTGACGGACGGGGCAGAGGAGAGGGACGCGGAGGAGAGAATGGCGATGATTCTGGCAGCGGAAGATTGGGCGGCGGGGAAGAGGGCGGCGGAGGAGAGGGCGCCTGTCCCTCGAGGTCTCGAGGCGGAAACAGGCGCGGCATCAGGGCCTCACCCAAGCACCGGTACGGCTCGCCGCCGGTGTGTCCGGCCGTGGCAAACGCCCACAGCGTGATGGCGAGCTCGGCGGGGTTGAGGGCGGCGGCGCGGCCCTCGACAAGCAGCTCGGCGCAGAGAGCGGCGCGTAGCGGCGGCGGGCCTGCACTAGGCGCGTCGCCGCCCTGTGCACGTCCGCCCTGCGCGGAAGCAGGTGGCACGGCGCCGCGCCAAGCAGGGTGAGCCGACTTGGCAAAGGCCCAGCTCACGGTGGCGAGGCCTAATGACGAGTCAATGACTGATCAATGACCCACTAGGATTCCTAGCGACGAATCAGGCCGAGCTCGCGGTGACGGCGCCCTGAGGCGTGAACTCGCTCAACCGCTGCCGTGCTGCGCGTGCGATGGCGTCGAGCAGCTCCGGCGCCTCGTGCCCCGCCGTCGCAAAGGCACGCGCGAGGTTGCTCAGCTCCTGCTCGTTGAAATCGGCTGCGCGGCTGGCTGCCACCGCAGCAATGGCGTCGAAGAGGCGCGCCGGCAGCAGTGGCGAGGCGGCGGCGGCGGCGCGGCCGGCGGCAGCGCCGATGGCAGCGCCGCCTGCACTCGCGGGGCGGCTGACCTCGGCAAAGGCCCAGGCCGTGTTTGCGAGGCCCTGCGGCGTGAAGCTACGCGCAGAGTGCGGCGAGGAGAGGCGGGCCTGCGGACAGGCGCGGGCGGCTGGGTGAGCCGGCAGGCCGAGTGGCGGGTCGGGAGGGGAGGAGAGAGGCCACTGCTCCGGGGGTGGGCACCGCTCGGTGAGAGGGTGGGGGCAAGTGGGGTCGTGGCACGCCGTGATCTCGATCGCGATCGCGTCGAGGAGGTCGCTGGGCGCGCTGCCTCGGTTGTGCGCGAGGGCCCACGCCAGGTTGGACAGGGCTTGCGGCGCATACTCGCGCAAGTCCGAGGCGAGCGCCGCGCTCGCTCCGTCCCGCCAGACGTGCTCCCACGGGCCGTGCCCGGTGAGCCTCGCCGCTGCGAGCGAGTGGAGCACCGACGAGACCACGCGCGGCTCCACGAGCTGCGTCGAGAGCAGCGCCGCAGTCACGTGGCACGGCTCGCGCAGCGCGTCGACGGCGTCGGCGTCGGCGTGCAGGCGCAGGCGGGTCTGTCCGGCCCGCGCGAGACGGCCGAGCGTGGTCCAAAAGGCGGAGATGTGGCGGTCGTTGAAGTCGTCGCCGCGCCTCGCAAACAGGGAGAGCAGCGACTCGGCGTCGGGAGAGGAGGTGATCGAGGTCGTGAGCTGCCGCGCACGCTTGTCGCCGCGGTGCCGCTCCGGCTCCGGCGGAGGCTGCAGCTCGGCGGCCGGACCAGTCGAGAGTGCTCGCGCAATGCTCGAGAGCGCAGGTGTCCGACGAGTCAGATGCTGTCGGAGCCGTCGTCCGACGTGACCGGCGCGCCACATATACACACCGCCGAGTCGGCGGCCTCCACTCGGAGACTCCTTCGGCTCCTGCACCTGCTGCTGGAGGACGTTACGAGAGCGTGCGGCGCGAAGGCCACGGTTCTTCGTAGGTGGCTGGCGCGAGCGCAGTCGATCGCTCGAAAAGAATTCTTGAACCTCCTCGCTCACAGCACACGGCACGACAAGGGCGCGACTGGCGCGGACTGGCACACACCGGCTCGAAAAGAATTTGGCGCAAAGTGGATCTTCCAGCCCAGATCAGTCTGGCGGAGATGACACTAGTGGTGGCACTCGCGCTCGTCGCCGGACTGCTCCACGCCCCGCACGCGTATCCGCCGCTACTACAGCCGCCGCGGCCGCGCGTCGCCTTTAGCTGGCGTACTTGTTGTCTGGTGTCGCCAAGCGCGGTGCGCGTGAGAGAGAGATTTTTAGCAATACCAAATGTTTGTGTTTTGCGCGTGCGCGTGGCGGGGCCGGCGGGCTGCGGGGCGCTCATCGTCGTGCTAGTTCGTCGAAGGAGCGGGTTCGAGCGCTCGCGCCTTTCTTTTGACCGCGCAAGATATAAAGGGTGGGTAAGGGCTCTGCACGCAAGGCGCCCGCGTCGCAGACGCGGTACCATTGACAAATCTGCCATATACGTGTACACTAAGTTTCTCCGAGACCTCGCGAGCGGCCGGCTATTCACACCCCGGCAGTGTGGTTTGGGCAGGGCAGGGCAGTGTGGGTTTCACACCCGGGGCAGGTAGGGGATCGGGCAGGGCAGTTGTGCGGCAGTATGCGGGCAGGGCAGTACGGCAGGGCAGGGCAGGGCAGGGCAGGGCAGTTGGGGTCATAATTGCAGAGCTGAGATTCGGGATCTCAGGTGGTGAAAAAAAGGGGAGACAATTGCTGTGAACATGGAATTTGAATACCAATCTCAGTGAGATGTGTGAAGAGGACGGCCGATCGACCAAACACACGCGCGAGCTGGCGAGCTCATCTGCATCTCAATCGAATCTCAGGGGGGCGCCGTGTGTATAACGGTCGCGTATATTGCAATATACCCCCACACGAGCAAATAGCAACACAGTATACCCCCACACGAGCCCACTGCCCAGCGTGCCCGCGGCCGCCTCCCGCGCACCGCCGCTGGGGACGACACGCTGCGAAATCGGATCGAGCCCATGGAGGAGGAGGGCGCAGTCGGCGAATTGGAGGAGGAGGAGGAGGGCGCAGTCGACATTGGCGCATGTCTGACTCCAGACCGTCAGAGCACAGAGGAGGAGTTGGAGGTGCTCCGGCAACCTAACTAACCTGATTCAGAAGCCCGCCGACGTTGTCACTCAACGTGCATCATGCGTGATCAGGCTTGAGGGAGGAGCTCCGCTAACGATTCGGCTGGCCACCCACAACGCCGCCGCCCAAACCCGCCACCCCCACAAAGGACTCAAAGCGCCTGCCTCTGGGGGGGCGCGGGGGCCCTAGAGGGTATCCATGCGGGGGGGCGATGGGGTCCCATGGCCCGCCGCAGGCGCCGATTTATTCAGATTTTTCTTTTTTTGCGCGATTTTTCGCTTTCATGGGAATTCGGCGTACTTGCGGCCATGCTATCACGCCTTGCGACAGCCTGTCGGCGCTGCTGACCGTGCCATGCTGCACAATTGATCACCCGCATAGCTCGCGGCCTTAGTATCCAGCATTCAGTGACGACCTGATCGTACGGCCAGTAGGAAGGTGTCCTTCCAGCTGCGTGCACGCTTCTGACGCAATGCGCGTCACAAACTGCCTCGGATTGGCTGCTGGCACTCTCGAGGCTATGCCTACACAGCCTCGCGCGCATGGGCAGTCAAGAGGGACCACGCACCTTCTCAGGACAGCACCAGTGCCTCTCTCTTGGACCGGCAAACGTGGTGGTCTCGTGTTACCAATGTGGGACCAGTGCGGCATCGCGCCATCGACAGCTCTGAACTGCGCCTCACCACTGACCGGGGAAGGCCGCCAAGTGGGCCAGCACCGGTCGCATATTGTGGCAGCAGTCAGCAGTGCATGTCTGATAGCTAGAGCAGCAGCGTCAGGGTCTCGCAGGGTCGGATCGTGTCAAGCCTCTCGCCCGGCCGGCCGCGTGCAGACGTCGGCCCCTGTCTGCTGTCTGGAGTGATCTGTCGGCGGTCAGTACGACCGATCAGGTTGGAGGTTTCTGATGGTTGGAGGGTCTATCTGTATGTACTCCTCGAGATCTCTCCAAATCTGCCCTCTACTCAACCATACTCTATGAGCGAGTATGAGCGCCGGGGCCCCGTTTCCGCACTGCTGCGCGGCGCACGGTGCCTCCGGGGGCCCCCGCGCCCCCCCAAGAGGCGCCTGCTCTACTATCCCGTACCTGGCTGGCTGACGCTCGCCCCCCCCGCTCCACTTTCCACGGATCATGCCCGTGATAGCACCATCACTGCCGCCGTCCTGGTTTTGAACGTGGCAGCTAGACCCTTAGGAACTCGGTAGTTGTGACCCCCCCTGAGCGGAGAGAGAGATTTTTAGCAATACTTGTTACTGAGCGGTGAGGAGCAGGAGAGAGAGCTTTTGTGGTGTTGGTGTACGCAATAACGGGACAGGGTGGTTGTTCTCTCTATCTCCTCTTCTAGCTCTTAGCATGAGCTGCGCCCTGTGTCCGACCCCTTTTGCGCAGCAACACCTTAAACTTTCAGGCCCTCCAAATTCGGGTCGCGGAGCGTAGCGCTAGCGGCACTAGCGGAGTGGGCCCCGAGTTTGAAAAGGGCGACGGACGCTTGCGTCCTAGCCTCCAACAACGCCTCCCCGGCGCAGAGGGGCCCCCGGAGAGATGCGCAACCGCTCCACGCCACGCCGCTTGCGGCGGTCCTATTCCCAGCTCCGCTGAGGGCGCCCGTGCATTATGACCGCGCAAGATATAAAGGGTGGCTAAGGGCTCTGCCCGCAAGGCGCCCGCGTCGCAGACGCGGTACCATTGACAAATCTGCAATATACCCCCACACGAACAAATAGCAAAATCCGAATACCGTGCAGGAACTGCGTGATGTGCGCCGGGCAAGCCTTCAGCTGGTGCCAAGACATTCGTAAAATTGAAGCCAAGAACGTCCGCCAAATCCGTGCTAGGGAAAGCTGATCGAGCCCAGCGTGCCCGCGACCGCCTCCCGCGCAACACCGCCGCTGGGGACGACACGCTGCGGAATCGGATCGAGCCCATGCACGGGCAAAGAAGGACGCTGCAGAAGCGGTTGGAGAGGCAGCCGGCGTCTGCCGTCACAACGAGTCCCAGCGCTGGTTGGACATGCGCGTCGGCTCGCCCGAGGACTGCTGTCGCGACCCGTCGTGACGCAGCCTCCGACGAGCTCTGCAACCGAGAGAGTGAGGGTGCGCCTCCCCTCACTGCTGGCCTGGCTGCGCACCGCCCCACAAAGCACCCCCTCGAGCATCTCTACAAGTACAAGTACAAGGGCGACCTTCTCCAAGTCGTCAACGCGCCCGGCGGCTCCGACAAGACTTTAGCCTTGGCCACCCTCCTTGCGGAGCAGGAGGAGATCCGCTCTCGGTCGGCAACGTGGCAGCTAGTCGAGAGACTCGGTAGTTGTGACCCCCCTCTGTGCTCTGAGTGAGGACAGGAGAGAGAGAGCTTTTGTGGTGTTGGTGTACGCAATAACGGGACAGGGTAGTCGTTCTCTCTAGCTCCCCTTCTAGCTCTTAGCATGAGCTGCGCCCTGTGTCCGACCCCTTTTGCGCAGCAACACCTTAAACTTTTAGGCCCTCCAAATTCGGGTCGGAGCGTAGCGGAGTGGGCCCCGAGTTTGAAAAGGGCGACGGACGCTTGCGTCCTAGCCTCCAACAACGCCTCCCCGGCGCAGAGGGGCCCCCGGAGGGATGCTCAACCGCTCCACGCCACGCCGCTTGCGGCGGTCCTATTCCCAGCTCCGCTGAGTGCCCTTGGAGCACTTGGAGTGCAGTCATTAGCCTCACATCCAGGGCCGGGGAGCTAAGAAGCGCACCCAGCGGGCCGGATGATCGGGATCGGGTTGCGGGCAAGAGAGCCCTAGCCCCGGGGGTGCGCGTTCGCAGGGAAAGCTCGCCTTAAAGTGATCCTGCGTTACCAGTCCGCGCCCTTGTCGTGCCAGTGTGCTGTGAGAGAGGCTTGTATCTTAAGAATTCTTGGGGAGTACTTCGGCATTCATGGCCAGGCACATTATGCTCCTCGCCTCCCGTCGCTGCCCACCCTTCGCCGCTGCGCTCCGACCTGCCGGCACGCGGGCGCTCGCCTTCAAAGCGACGCACAAGCGGCAGCCCAAAAAGGAGGAGAGCAGCGGCGGCCGCGACCCGTACGCCACGCTCAAGGCGGCGATCATCGCGGAGCCAGATCCAGAGCTGTCCACGGCGATAATGGCGGAGAAGGAGACCGCAGCGGCGCGGAGGGAGAGACGAGCCGAGTACAGCCGGCAAGCCATAACCGAGGTGCGTCGTGCCGAGGCGCTCGCACGCCCGCTCGCCCGCTGAGCGCGTTGGTCTCTCGCGCGCCCACAGGTGAAGCGGGTGATGGGCCACCTGTCTCGCCTAATCAAGCTGAGACAGGCGGCGATCGAGGCGCTGCCAGAGGAGCTCCAGGAGGCTGCGAGGAAGCCCGACCTGACGCCAGCGCCGATCCAGCGCCGCATCTTCACAGACACGGCGCCCATCCCGGACTACCAAGCCAAGTTGCTACGGCGGGGGGAGGACTGACCGATAGGACTGCGCGCGCGGTGGCGATGGGACAGATGGGCTGCTGCATATCTTGTGCGCTCTGGGCGACAACTTTCGATGGAGAGACCGGTCGTGTGAGCGCTGCGCACGACGCGCGGCGCGCGGGCGCGCGGCACAGCGCGCGCCGGCCACACGTCGGCACGTCGCGTGTGTCGCTGTCGGCTCCCAGAGACGCGCGCGGACACAGATTACTATTTTGTATGCCGCGGCAACAATACACCGCCTCCTCATATGCGTCCAAAGCGGCGCGCACCGACCTCCTGCTCGCTCTCGCTCTCGCTGTCGCTCTCCTCGCTCTCGTCGCCCTCGGCCTCGCTCTCCTCCTCCTCCTCGCCGCACGCGTCGAGCTCGCCCAGCAGCTCCAGCATCCGCACCTCTCGCGCCTCGTCCGATCCCAGCGCAGCGAGCGAGTCGGTCAGCTCGTCTGCGCGGGCAGCGGTCAGCGCGCCCGCGTCGACCGAGGCGGCGCAGCGCAAGTCAAAGGCGTGCTCGACGGGAGAGAGGCCCGCGTCGGCGCGAGGCGCGGCGAGCAGCAGCTGGGCGAGCTCCTCGTGCCCAAACTCGAGCGCGTCCTCGAGCGGCGTGGCGCCCGCGCCGTTCGCTGCCGCCGCGTCCGCGCCGTGCGAGAGCAGAGCTGCCGACGCCTGCCACGACCCGAGCGACGCAGCGAGGTGGAGCAGCGTGACTCCGCGCTCGTCAGCGTGCGCCGCCAGCGCGGTCGCCAGGCTGCGCTCCTGGAGCCAGCGCAGCACGGCCTCTGCAAAGACGGCGGTGGCGCCAAAGGCCTCGCTGCACTCTGCCCACGCCTCGTCGAGTGGGGTGGTGCGAGCCGCCTTGCCGTGGGCCGCGTCGGCCCACTGCTGTGCCGGCCGCATCATGTACGCGGGCACGTCTGGCGGGAGGGCTGCGTCCGCCTTGGCGCCGGCGGCCAGCAGCAGCATCCCAACCTCCCTCGCCCGCTGCCGGGTGCCATCGTTGGCGGCCCTGGCCGGGTTCATGCCGCAGGCGTTGAGCGACGCGTTGAGTAGGGCGAAACCTCCCTCGCTGTCCGTCGCGTTGGGGTCGGCGCCGCGAGCCAGCAGCGCCTCCACGTGAGCGGTCTGCAGCTCAAAGGCGCAGACCATGAGCAGGGTGGAGCCGTTGGCGTCGCGGACGTCGACGGCGGCTCCACTCTCGTCAAGCAGCAGCTCGAGGTCGTCGACCTTGCCGAAGCGGGCCGCGATTAGTAGGCCGGGAGGAAAGGCCATTAGGTCGTGCAGACCGCGGTGAGAGAGAGCAACAAGGGAAATTTCTGTCACTGATCCTTCCAACGACGACAAGCCGCGTTCCTCGCGCGAGGAAGATTCACGACTGTTGTTGCCGTCGTGAAGGAGCCCGCCCCAAAGCGCGGGTCCCCAAGGGTGAACGAGGAAGAATTCTCAAAACACAAGCCTCTCTCACAGATGAAGAAAAATTCTAGAATGTTAACATACGCTTTTCCCCTTTTTTGACTCGCGAAGAACCTCTTTCCTCTGTCTCTCTCTTCTTCTTCTGTCTCGTGACCTTGTAGAGAGACGAGCGATTGGCCGCTTTGTGTATCTCGAGGCCTCGAGAGAAGGCCGCCTGCAGGCCTCCTCGAGGGCCCAACTAAAATTGGCTTTCTTTGGCGGGCAAGCAAGAGAGACTACGAGAAATCGCAAACCTGTCAGCAGTTCACCTACGGGTATGTATGTAGGAAGGTGAAGAACAGTCAGGCTCGGACTGGACACCGACGCGGTATGGGTGGACGCTGGACAGATGATGACGACACGCACGAGCGACACACAGACACAAACAGGGTATGTTCGAAGAGCTACATACACTGAGAAAGAAATTATGCGGGTTTGTAACGACGAAAAATGGGCGCCGCGAGCAGCAGCCGCTCCTATCCTCCTCCCCTGGCCGATCCTCCCCCGACCGACGCGCTGCCGGCGGTGCTCGAGCGGATCGCATCATCCTCCGCCCGCGAGCTTGAGGCCTTCCTCCGACTGAGCGCTCCCTCCTTTGCCGACGAGGGCGCACAAGATAGACAAGAGAGACAAAGAAGACCGGCGAGTCCTGACCAAACCAGCGGGGATCAGAATTTACATCGCCTCGCCAGGCGAGCAGAGCCACGAATGCGCGGTGGTGCACCGGAGCTACTGCGCATTCGTCGAGCACCTCCTCGCCGACGCCCTCGACGAGGTGCGCATTGACCGAGACTCCTTTGTGAGGCTCCTTTCGGACGCGGCGGACCGCGGGCTTGCAGAGGCACCCGCTCCGCCCTCGCCCCATCGCCTCCTCTCGCCCGGAGGGAGGAGCGGTGGCTCATCAGGCGGAAATGATTCTCGGCTTTGCCAGCGCCGCCGACGATTACCTCCAGTTCCGCCGGCTGGCGCTTTGCGTCCAGTCCACGCCCGAGGCGGCCACTCACGAGAAGGCAGAGGGCCCGTCCGCCCTCGCTCGCGCGTCACCAGCCACGGCTCGCCCACAGCTCACCGCGCACTAAGCCCGCCACGCCACATCCCTCACCGCAGGCGGAGATGCTGCGAGCGCACCTCTGGGGCTTGCCAAACCGGCTACGCGGATCCGTGACGTCTGACAAGGAGGCTCAGTGCACGCGAGATCACCCGACGGTGACGACTGGGGCGCCTGAAGGCATTGCGCTGGCGGCCGGTGGAGCACCGGCCCGGGAAGGGCCAATGATTGAGACCGCCGCAGGGAAAGAGCGAACGGCCAATGAAGCGGGAGCGGCAGAGCCGCAGAAGCCGGAGCCCGAAGCTGCGCCACCTGCAGGCGCGTTGCCGAACCAACCGCTGCAAGTGCCGCCGGGTAGCAAGCCTAGCCAGTCGCTGCAGCCCCACGCGTCCTTCATGACCGTGCAAAGTCTGCGGCACAGTGGCGAGTGGCGCCAGGCAGAAGAGCCTTCTCTGCAGCTCAGCCAGCGATATGCCGCCGCCATCCGCAGCCTCGAGTCCGCGGTGTGTCGCCCAAGCGCGAGCAGCGCGGAGCCGGAGCCAGATTTAAACCCGGGCTGGAGCGAGGCACCGAAGAAGAGCGGCCCGGGCAAGCTGTGGCTGCCCGAGGGGCGCGCCATTGACCCTGCCGTCCTCCGGAGGGCGCTGGAGGCATAGCGGCCGACGTCGGCCGGGATAAGGAAAGCTGCATCGGCAAACCTCCCTCGATAAATACAGAACTTTCAAAAACGACCTCTCACAGCACACACAAGCTACTCCTAAACAGCAAAAAGGTACGACGCGACACGACGGGTGACTGGGCGCGCACACACACTAGCTATAGATGCGCTAGGACACTGCATACAGATGGGGCTGGGGGGGGAGAGGGCTCTCACGCCGCGCGTAGGGCCCTTCATTCAGGGGCCTAAAGAACAGACTTGGCGCTCCCATTTCTCTCTCCAATCGACGGCGCCTTTTACGTCGTCTGCTGTGCCTCTTTTGGTACCTGTGTCGAACTCTGTGTGCATACGAAAAATAGTTTTGCAGTGTTATAATTTCATTTTTTCGTTCAAGCCCTAAAACTTCAAATCGTCCAAATTCGCGCGGGATTTTATACGCGCGCCCCCGGCAGGTCTGTTCTAGTACTGTCGTCGCGACCTCCATGCCTCTGCAGCAGGTGTACTCAGCGGGCGATCTCTGCGTTGTGACAGATTGCAATGCCATCCAGCACATTGGCAAATGGGCCGCGTTGTGACTCATGGCCGGCAAGTGGAGGTCGACATCGGGGAGGCGAAGCCTGTCAAGCTTAATCGCAATGAGCTGCGGTTGGTGTCCCTAGAAGGGACACTCGGTTGCTCAGAGGGTCGTACCAAAAGTGGTGCAAGCGGCGTCGACAAGCTCACGCTGGGTCACGGGACGGCGGGAAACACGGCGTCGGAGTGCGTGCCCCTGCCCGCCAGGGCGGAGGTGTCCACCTCATGTAGGCCAGGCCCGATGCACGGCGCGATGGATTCGCTCAGAAATTCTGAAAGCAACTTCGTCACAAAAACACTAGAACTGAGGCGCGCCCAACCTGGTCAGCCGGAAGAAGGCGCCTCATGTGTGGTGCCGTCCTCAACCCCCCATCGAGTGCAAGGCAGCAGCCACCGCCGCAATAACACACTGAACGAGCGAGGACAGCAGCCCAACAGCCCCGACGAAAACAACAACCGGCGCCCGTCAACAAGAGGACACAACGGCGGAAATGGCCCGTCTGCGGTCGAGGCTCCAGCTGAGCGAAGAGGCAGGCAGAGAGCGTCTGGCGAGAGCCTTCCGGCCGAGAGGAGAACTCAGCGCCCTCCGGCTGGCGAGGCGATCCCCGCTGAGGTGTCACCGCCTTTTGCCCTGCGCACTTCAGCGAGTCGGTCGCCTTTCCCGCAGGACTTGCTGCCGCACGTGCGGCCGTGCGACCCCTCTCCCACGCCCGACGGTAGTCCGGCCGCCGCCACTCACCAAACGCCGCCGGCCGCCGGTCCCGCTTCTACTACAGCTGGCGTGATCGAAACGGAGCTTGGTGGCGGCCGGCGGCGGCCATCGGTTGGCGTTGCTTTGGGTGCGGGCGCGGGCGCGGGCGCGGCGGTCACAGATGCGGCTGCGGCTGCGGCGTCAGAGGTGAGGGCCGCAGCGAGCGTGGGCGCGCCGCGCCTTTCGGCATACGGAGCGGCAATGGTGATGGTGGAGCCGAGCTTTGAGCGGCGCGACTTTGGACAGCGCGCCGTCAGTGCTCTGACCGAGATGCGAGCAAGGGAGAGGGAGCGGTTGGCTGCGATGGCGTGGAAGTGGTCGCAGGCACGTCGCAAGCGCGACTACACGAGCGCCGACGCGCTTCGTAGCGAGTTACGATCCGCTGGCTATGAGCCGGAGGAGTTGCTCGTGCCCGCGTCGAGCCGCCCCTGAGGTGAGATCTACGTACCACACACCATCACGCTCGGCTAATGAGAGGTGGGAGTGGGGAGGGACTCCCAGCCCCCTTCTCTTCGTCAGGAAAATATATCTTTCAAGTTGCCACGCGAGTTCATTAGACGACGACAGAGCCAACTCTCCGAGAGTATCTGCAATGGCTAATGCAGATACCTGACTCCTCCCCTACTCCTCTTCGCGGCCGTCGCGGCCGTCGCGGACCGCGCGCCGTGTGGTACCAAAAAAGAGATGTAGCCTTGGACGTTGGACCCCAGAGACGGCTATGGGTGCGCAGCCCCCAGTCGCAAGCGAGTACGATGTCGAGGGGTTTCCAAGGTAGCGCACGTTCCTAACTCGGAGGGGAAGGGGGCGGGGGGCCGGGGTTGGGGGTCACTCTTGGATCGGGGAGATTCTAGCCAGAGTACACTACCCTCTTGGATTATCGGGGGCAGAGAGTAGTGTACTCCGGTCTTCCTGTATAAGCAGCAGACCAGCAGTGCGGAAACGGGGCTCCGGCTCCACTAGTCTCCACTAGCACCGACTTCCCGATTAAATACGGTTAAATAGAGGGCAGATTTGGAGAGATCTCGCGAGGAGTACACACAGATAGACCCTCCAATGATAAGAAAATTCACCACCTCGCCTTCTCTGTCGCTCTCCTGGCCCAGGCCCATCAGCAGCAAGCCTGAGCTGTCCCAAACCGCACTTATCTTGGGTCTTCAAGCTCACACCGGCTCGTGTGATGCCACGGAGAGGAGACCCGAGAGTGTCTCCGGTGGACCCCATCCGAGGCGATTGTGAGGGCTTTCCGGAGGTCATTGTCGGTGCCATCGACTGTGTCTGAAATGTCCCGACCCACAGCCCTCATGCACCAGGCGCATGGATGCAGTCATGATATGTAGCCCTTCTCTCCCGAAGTTTGGAGCAATAGCCGCAAATAGTACTTTTTGGCACTTCATCGCGACACGTCCAGGTGCCGACAAAGCGGCTTCCCAGCTCACCACCTCGCCCTTCTCTGTCGCTCTCCTGGCCCAGGCCCATCAGGAGCAAGCCCGAGCTGTCCCGAACCGCACTTATCTTGGGTGATGAAGCCCACTCTGGCTCATACCACGGCTCTGCAGCCTCACACACGCCCGTTTCAGCCACAGACACCGCCGGCACGCACTCCCACTTCACACATGCTCAAACACAACCACCAAAGCACAACCCTTACCAGAATGGGCAAGGGCTACCATCTGGTGACCCTGGTAGCCTCTGGCTCTCGCCACTGCACTCGGCTCCTCTGCAGCGGTCTCGGCTCTCGCCACGACAGCACGCCGACGGCAAGCTTTGACGCCCGTCCTGTGGACCTGCTGTGGCCACAGCCGCCCCTCACATGCAGCTCGCACCATGACTCGACACCGGGCCCGCTCAGCTTGATCGTGGCGGCGTGTGTGAAGGATGCGCGGCCAAGCCGCTGGCTGGCGCCCCTTGAACGTCCGAGATGGCCGCAGCACAGGCCACGCCTCGCGCCGCCGGCCAAGCCCAGCGTCTCGGCGGTCCAGTCGGTCGAGCTGGCGGGGCTGGCGAAGATTTGGGGACGTGACCGCAACTCGGGCAGCGAGCGCGCGCTTGAGCTGTGCTGGACCGACGACCCCATTTTTCGGGGTGGATTGATGGGGCCACCTTGGCCTTCCCTAGCAGCTGTGAACATCATCAATGCCACCGTGGCTCTAGCCTTCATTAGAAACACGAGTGGCGTGGGATCTGCATGCAGATCTCTCTCCTCATCGCGGCCGTCGCGGCCGTCGCCGCGGAGCCGCCGTGGTACCAGAAGACGTGGTACCCGTACCTCTTCGACTGCTCCGACAGCGCCGACTGGAGGGACCAGTACGACTCTGCGTGCTCAGCCCATAGCGCAAATGAGTGCGATGTCGAGACAAGATCGGCATGCCCGCAGACGTGCGGCTTGTGCACGCCTTCGTCGCCCAAGATGGTGCGCCCGCAAACCCGCCGTCCGCCCGCCGCTGCGTCGCTGGCCGTTGCACACACACACACACCAGACACAGGCGCCAGCCCCGAAGCGGTGCCGGTGCCGGTGCCCTTGCCTGTGCACTGCTGTGGCGCCGAGGGCGTCGCCGTGGCTGCAGGTGATCGCGACGCCGCCAATCATGGCGGCCGCCGTCGCCTTCCTCTTCATCGCCTACCTCTACGTCCGCATCGACGCCTTCCCCACCGGTGCCGAGGTCGGGCTTGCGCGGGTCGACGAGCTGTCGCTCAAGATCAAGTCGGGAGCGCGGCAGTTCCTCGAGACGGGCGCGCACCACCACCCGCCCGCCCGCGCGCTGCGCTCGCGCGCCCACGCACACTCTCAACCTCCTCGTGGCCTCCGGCCGCTCCGCGCACTCGCCGCCGCCATCCCACGCCACCTCTGCCCCACCGCCCCCCTTGCCCGCCGCCTTCCGCAGAGTACGCGTACCTCACCATCTTCGTCGTGGGCCTCGCAGTGCGCGCCCCCCGCCTCGTCGCGACCGCCCGACGCACACCCGACCCGACTCCCTCCCGCTCCCCTTTTCCCAGCTCACCCTCTTCTTCCTCTTTTACCTGACGGAAGACGAAAACGCCTACACGATCGCCCTCTCCGTCTCCCTCTCGTTCGTCACGGGCGCGACCCTCTCCGCCTCCGCCGGCTGGTGGGGCATGATGGTCGCGACCGACGGCAACGCAAAGACCACCGCCGCGTGCGCCGGCGACCGCGCCAACGGCGTGCCCGGCTCTCTCAACGCCGGCCTCAACGTCGCCTTCTCGACGGGCGCCGTGATGGGCTTCGCCGTCGTCGGCGCGCGCGCGCCATCCTCCTCCCGGAGGCGACGTCGCGCCCCTCTGAGGGTGAGAGGGTGTGGTCTCTAGGCCTCGGCCTCGCGGGCGTCTCGACCGCCTACGTCGTCCTCTGCTCCATTTACGGCGACGACGACCAGGCGCCGCCCGGTAGCCCCGAGAGACGCTCAGCGTGCCCCTGCTACTGTCCGCGCGGAGAAGGGGCGAGCCCGCAGCAGAGGGGGGAAGGCGCCGGCCGAGGCTCGCCGAGGCTCCGCCGCCCACGCCCCACGCCCCCGACCGCAGGCGCTGGTGATGCAGTGCCTCGCCGGCTTTGGCTTCGGCGCTTCGTCGATTGCGCTCTTTGCGCGCGTGGCGGGAGGGATCTACACCAAGGCGGCGGACGTCGGCGCGGACCTGGTCGGCAAGGTCGAGGCGGGGATCGACGAGGACGACCCGCACAACCCGGCCGTCATCGCGGACAACGTCGGCGACAACGTCGGCGACGTGGCGGGCATGGGCGCGGACCTGTTTGAGTCGTACGTCGGCTCGATCATCGCCGCTGCGTCGCTCGCCGTCACCCAGGCGCAAAAGGAGGGCGACACGCTGCAGGGCAAGAGCACCCAGGCCATCGCGCTCGCCTTCCTCCTGCCCGCCGTCGGCATCGTCGCCTCCACCATCGGCTTCTTCGCAGTCAACACCAGCGCGCAGGGCAAGGGGTGGGACGTCCACCTCGGCAGCCGCACCCCTGCCGCCCTCTCCACCAGAGGGGCGGAGCCGGCCGTGGCACGCCCGTGACGCGCCCGCGACGGCTGCTCCTCTAGGCACCCTCATGTGGGCCCTCGAGAAGGGCATGTACCTCGCCGCCGCCCTCTTCACCGCCGGCGCCTACGTCTGCGTCGTCCAGATCTGCGGCCTCGGCACCAACATTTTTGCGTGCGTCATCATCGGCCTCGCGGCGGGCATGGCGATCGGCAAGGTGGCCGAGCCCCCCCCCCCCCCCGGGCTCTCGGCCGGCGTGGAGGGACGCCGTTCACACCTCACCGCGTGTGAGCAGGTGACCGAGTACTTCACCTCCTTCGACTTCGGCCCAGTCATGTCGATCAAGGATCGCGGCATGACGGGCCCCGCGACCGTCGTCATCCAGGGCCTCGGCGTCGGCATGATCTCGTGCGTGCCGCCGACGCTGGTGCTCTCGGTGGCGATCGTCTCGACCTCGGCGCTCGGCGGCGCGTACGGCGTTGCCATCTCGGCGGTGGGCATGCTCTCCACCCTCGGCATCACCCTCGCCACCGACGCGTACGGCCCCGTCGCCGACAACGCGGGTGGCCTCGCCGAGCTGTCCCACTTGGGCAAGGAGGTGCGCGACATCACCGACTCGCTCGACGCGCTGGGCAACACGACCGCCGCCACGGGCAAGGGCTTCGCCATCGGCTCCGCCGTCCTGACGGCGCTCTCCCTCCTCTCCGCCTTCAAGAACAAGATCAACGACCCGACGGGCTACGACGTCGGCGACCCTGTCGTCCTCTCTGGCGTCCTCACGGGCGCGATGCTGCCGTACCTGTTCGCGGCGCTGACGATGATCAGCGTGGGCAAGGCGGCGGCCGAGATCATCTCCGAGGTCCGCTGGCAGTTCAAGCACATCCGCAACGCCAAGGGCATCTCGCTCGGAGAGTGCATCCGCGTCTACACCGAAAAGGCGGAGGAGTTTGGCGAGGGCGTCTACCGCGCCGCGCCCGAGGACGAGGTCGAGCCCGACAGCGACAAGTGCGCCCCCCCCGCCGCCCCGCCGCCCCGCCGCCCCGCCGCCCCGCCGCTCCGCCGCTCCGCCGCCCCGCCGCCCCTCGCCCCGCCGTTCCATGGAGGAGCGGGCCGGCACTTCCTTCCGGCGCAGGTGCGTCGCCATCTCGACGCGCTCGTCGGTCCGCGAGATGATCGCGCCGGGGGCGTACGCCGTCCTCGCGCCGCTGATGGGCGGCTTCCTGGTGGGGCCTCGCTTCCTGATGGGCCTGCTCGCGGGCGCCATCACCTCGGGCTGCATGCTCGCCATCATGATGGCCAACGCGGGCGGCGCGTGGGACAACTCGAAGAAGCTGTGCGAGAAGCTCGGCCTCAAGAAGAGCAAGGACCCGGCCAAGAAGGAGCAGCAGAAGGCGTGCGTCGTCGGCGACACCGTCGGCGACCCGTTCAAGGACACCTCGGGCCCCGCCCTCAACATCCTGATCAAGCTCATGTCGATGGTCTCGCTCACGGTGGCGCCGCTGCTCAAGGACCACAAAGACTACGACCACTGGGAGTACGGCCTCATCCCGACGGCCATCTTCGTCGTCCTCACCCTCATCCTGGGCCCGATGATGAACATCCTCACGTGGGACGACCCGCTCGCAAACATGGTGTCGGGCGACGCGCCCGAGGACATGGGCAAGGGCTCCTCCTCGCGCAGCTACGAGCCGCTCGGCCTCCCCACCACCGGTGCCGCCTCGGAGGCGGCGCCGGAGGCGCGCGAGCCGCGCCGCCCCCCCTCACGCGTCGCGAGTGTCCAAAATAGGCAACCGCCGGAACACGGTCTGCAAGGTCATCGGCCGGCTGCTCGGCGGCGGCGGCGGCGTCCACCAGAACCTCGTCACGCCCTGAGAGGTGGCCGGCCGCATGGGGCGAGCTTGCCCGCAGGGCGGGGCAGGCTCGACGGGAGGGGGGGACGGGTCTGCTGTTTTCCATGAGCTACGCGGCAGTCACGCCGTGAGGTGCGTGCGCATGGTGCGGATGCGCGCGCCCCGACCGACATGAGCTAGTGTGACATGAGCTCATCTGGCTTTGTGCTCATCTATTACCTACGTGGGGTGGGGAGGCTATTGGAGTAAGGTTGGCGCAGGGGGAGGTGTCAATCACGCTCCCGGGACGCCGGAGAGATCGGGTTGGTCTCCCCCGCCTAGCGCCTTCAGCCCTGACCCGACACGGGGACGCCACCACCCTCGCCCAGGGATCTACAATGCTGTCTTAAGGTCCGACAGGCTCGGCACCGGGCACCGCCTCGGTATACAAAATGCGCCTGCGGGCGGACCCTTACAGATCACAGATCCGGTCCATTTGTGAAAAAAAGAAATGCGCCTTGCGTCGGAGGGCTTCGCGGCCAAGGGTGGTCCAGGTCTCGGCCGCCTACATGGTTTTCGTCGCCGTCCTGCGCCGCACTGCAGGCGGCTGCGGCCTCAAGGTGCCGCGGCGCACGTCGGCGGACCTCTTCATGCGGGACGCGCACCTCAAGTGCGTCTCGACCTACCTCAAGCCGTTTCCGCCGCACCTGACGCAGTTCATCTGCTTTGGGTCGTCGTCGCTCGTGCAGCGGCGGCGGCTGTCGGCGCTGCCCGCGGCGGCCGCCGGCGCGGCTCCGGCGGTCGACGCGTGGGCCGAGCGCGCCGCCGCACGTGACCTGAGTGCCGCAGAGTTGCAAGTGCAGCTCGACTTGCAAGCGCAGCAGCAGTCAGAGGAGGAGGGCAAAGCAGCTGCGGCGACGACGGCGGTGGAGGAGGAGGAAGTGCCGCTGTACGGCGGCGGTGCCGCGCCGCACGTCGCACCGGCGGCGCCGCCGCCAGCCAAGAAGGTCGGGCTGCATGCGCTGCGGCGGATGTACGAGTCGGGCGAGCCGCTCTCGGTGCTCACGGCGTACGACTACCCGAGCGCGCGGCTGGCGGACGGCGCGGGCGCGGACGTGCTGCTGGTGGGCGACTCGCTCGGCATGGTCGTCCTCGGCCAGGACGACACCACCGAAGTGACCGTCTCGCAGATGGTCCATCACTGCCAGGCGCGCTGCCGGCATATCTCGGCGAGATCTCGGCGATGCCTCGGCTCTACCTCGGCGATGCCTCGGCTATACCTCGGCTATATTTCCCAGGCGGCCGCACGCGGCACGCGGCGCGCCCTCCTCGTGGCGGACTTGCCGTTTGGGGCGTACCTCACGCCTCAGGCCGCCGCTTCGAACGGGGTGTGTGCGGCTCCCGGGCAGAGCCTAGGAGCACAGCGCTCTCGCCGACCCGCGCCGCAACGCCCCGCGACGCGTCCTCCGCAGGTGCGGCTCGTCAAGGAGGGGCGCGCCGACGCCGTCAAGCTCGAGGGAGGGGTGCGCGCCGCCGAGCAGGCGCCTCCTCCCCCATCTCAACGCGGGGGGTAGGGAGCGCGCTCTAGGGGGGGTTTGGGGACTCCCCCGG